TTAGAGTGCTGTAACAGAGGAATATTTCATAAAACTATTCATCAGGATGTCAAGAATTCCACTTCATTACCAAGTCATCACAATCCAATGCGTACTCAAAGTTATGTAGATGATTCAACCCGATCAACCAACAAAGGAAAAGTAAAGGCGAACAAAGAGGAAACGCGCCAAAATTTTTGCTTTTTTGCATGTCCCTGGGAAATAATGCGGATTTCCCCTTTTTTGTCGCTCTGTTGGGAAAATGTTCTACCTTTCGCCTAAATATCCCCCGATGCAGGACACAAAGATGGACACATGTTTGGTCAGTGTTTCTCCTGTGGCAAATTTCACTTATATAATCCATGTGTACTTCGAAATTCTAAATGCGGCAAGATTGAACACATTCAGTCAGATTGTATTATTACTGTCCATTTCGTTGCAAGTAATGCTAGACTTTGTAATTCCGATTCTTCTGATTTGAATGTTCCAAATGAATCATACTGTAATCAGATTCATGACATTATTCTACCAGGTATGCATTGTTCTCATGATTCATAGATTTCTAATGAAATTATTTACAGATATGTGGAAAATATGTTGAGTTCATCAAATCCTGATCAGATCTCTGATGTTGTGGAATCAGATGTTAGACCTTCTCACAACCAGTGTTTTTCAAGTAAAATTCTTAGTCAGTGGTATGATGAATCAGAGGAGATGGTAAGCCGGTCAGAGAACCGATTCGCCCAGATATGAACTTCGCACAGGTAGAAAATTCAGATCGTATCCAAAATTATCCTAATGAGATTGAGGTAGATGCATATTTTCCATTGATTTGTTTTGCAGGTGAATCAAGCCCATATGAATCACATATGTTTATTACACATATCAATGCATATTTACCTGATAACCGGGACAACGACGTCGTATATCCTAACGTGAAAAGCAGAAGGAATATGTATCATAATTATTGTGCAAGTTAACGTCGAATTATATATCAGTGTGTATCACCGAATACTCACATATAAAAATCGTAGTGTGAGATGTGAGAAAACAATACAAATTAGCAACGTCAAATTGTTCATGATATCGCGACACAAGAACCCTACACAATGTCGTAGGGTAGGATATTGTTGGAAAGTATGTGGTTCGACTTCTAGGTATTGATGATTTCAGTACACAAACGATATATCGATCAGATACAATACCAAGAACCAGGCTAGTCAGTTTAAGTTGTGAATTATAATACTGATGAGTATATTACAGATAATATAGAGTTTGCACAATACGCTCGTCCGTGCTCATATAGTTCTTCTTGGTTAAGTTGCGTTATTTCGAAGATTTCTTGTTAATACAACATTTCGAATACTTCTAATTACCACAACAGTCTTAGTATAGAAACTAGAGTCAGATAGTTCAACCCACTATAAAGTCACGGATTGTCGTAACAGTCAGCATACTTCCAGTGGAAGTATATTTGAAACTAAGGCAATTGCCATATAATACCGGGGTTAAAATCTTCAACACAAACGTTGAGATAGTACTTTGAATGGCGTTGAGTTTGAGAGCTACTTCCGCTATCACCAAATAGGTACAGGAATTCATAAAAACTAATGGTCAGTGATAGTTATCATCAACTCACTCTGGCAGAGGAGAAATCACCTTCCAGTTCAGGAGGAGCCTGAAGAAAAGTATAGGAAATAGATTGGAAACACTCTAAGGAAACCAACAAAGAACATTACAAGGCAGGTCATGGCTAGGAATCCCCAAGGTGAAAGAAAAAGTGATAGACCGAATTATACGAAGCGTCTAAATGTGAATCCAGGTGTGGATAACCGAAATAGGATTTGGTAAGAAGTTCAAAGGACAGCCTGGAAACTTGGAGGACCCTAGTTGGTGACCTTTGATACGTAAAAAAACAACAGAGTTGGGAACGTAATGCTGTGTAAAGAGTGTAGAACAAAGTTTTATCAACCTCTGTGAAAGCCCACCACAGACACATGACCGTCCTAAAATGTGTGATGGCCACCCAGTAGACCTAGAAAGTATTGTCTTGTAAAACCACCCAACATAATCACTCAAATTCTTGTATTGAGATCGGATGGTCTATGGCCTGTGTTAATCCTTTACGATGAGCTTCCGAGAGTGTCATGTCTACTCCTGAATGAATCAAGAATAGGAGAAAGCTCCATCTCTTCGAGTAGTACGTCCCAAGAATTGCTGACACGGTGCGAAAAACTATATGTTTCTTATCGGAGTGGATTTTGTAGTAATTTCAAAGTTCGAGTTCACGAGTCGATTCAAGTTAGACCACCACCGCAAACCTGAAAGCACTGAACGACCGATTCGTCCTAGTATGAGACTTTTCGGCAGTGCAGATCAACTATCCTTTATGCAGGAGTCGAACCTAGGACCCTCAGTCTAGTGCGCGAACACTTAACCTCTAGACCACTAAGCCGGTGTCCAACGGTGTTGTTGCTCAATTTTAATAGATTTGTGAACTTGCGTAAGCCCCCATTTATTGCCTGAGGTTGAGATATTTCCCTAACTGGAGCAGAGAGAACTCCAAAGGTCACAGCTTTTCATTAGGAATTAATCGAGCAACTAGTCACGGGTGCGTTTGTTTTTCTTGGCTTTGTGCTCACCTGCTATGTGCTCCGAGTTATCCCGTTCTGATAGGAAAAGAAGAGGGGATACATAAGGTCCGAACTCAACCCTTAGTATTCTATACATAAAAATCAAATCACCTGTGAATTTTCAGTAGGACAGAGTGAAGAGCCACTCTTCATATGATAAACTACGGAGTTCTGGAATTGCACGGGTAGCTGTCCTCTGTAATTTTTTCAAGATATCCGAATCGCTTTTTTTAACATGGCATTACAAACTGAATACGGTTTTCAAGTTAAGACCTAAGTGAGTGTATAATTTAGTGAACACATTTGTATTTGTCTTGGTAAATGTCCCCCTGAAGCCCTGCGACAGAGCCTTGTGGTACTCCATCCAGTACTAACTACTTGGAGGAGCACTTGGAATTCATCTTTACTTTGTTTATACGACTTTGGCAGAAGTCCACAAATAATACATTTTCCGGGTTCTAGAATAGTCTATGTTTGGCACCCTACCAAATGTTTTGCTGAAGTCGACGTAGACAGTATCCAATGATTTTCTTTATCTAGATCCTCCGGCCATTGCTATCGTGCTATAGAGAGGTTTACTGTAAGAGATAAACCTATCCTGCACGCATTCTTTGCCGTCTGAAAAGTTGTTGGTATCTACAAATATCACTATGGCATCTTGATTATAATTTCCAGTATTTAAACCATAGCACTGGTGAGGGTGACGCGTCTTTTGTCCGATGAGTGATGCTTAGACCCTCTTTTACTAACTGTTATGACAACAAATCCTTCCAGTTCATAGTTAACCGACCTTGATAGTGACATCAAGGAAGTCGTAGTTAGTGCAGGAGCAATGCATTGTGAAAAATGTATCTAGATTCCATGGTGAAGTTCAGTCAGCCATGTAGAGTTTCATGAGTCTAAAGTGCGAGTGCCTTTAAAGTATAGTTTTATCTCACTAATTTTAATAATGCAAAATTAAGTTGAAGATATTTAATATGTCGTATCGATCGAAGTTCACAAGGAGAGACCGCTTCTCTGACTTTAGATTCAGGGCTAATATTTTGTCTAGAAGATGATCATGAGTGAAAACTGTCCTGAAATTGTCTACTACGACCTCTGAATTGTCCTGGTCTTCCTCCATTGACTGGGACCCACACCATACTGTAATTGCGTTGAGGAATCAATGGTGCGTCCTTATTCTGTAATTTATGTACAAGAACAGTCTCTTTGGCTGCCTGTTCTCAGATTGTGCCAACCTATTTCCACATTTTTACTGAACTACCTGGGTTGTACTTCTACACTTATTTCTGACCGACCTGAAACGTTTCGAGGATCTGACTCGACTTCATAGTTGGGCAGACGATAACGGACTTACCTTTAACACTTCTAAGTGTAAAGTAGTCCATCTGCGACATGTCGCAAACTACAGTTACAACTTAGGAAACTCCTCTCTAGTAGTATCCCAAGTCGAAAAAGATTTAGGAGTCCTGGTGCCCCATGTCTTACGCTGTGACAAAAATGCCTTCCGAGCAAACCTTGCACTGGTAACGTTGAGGCGCATTTTTGGTCAGTTTGACGGAAGAACTTCCCACACAATCTTCAATAGTTTCATCCGTCCCCATTTAGAGTACGGAAACATAGTACTCCCCCCTCACTCCAAAAGGATAAGGTCACTTTGGAGCGTATCCAACGGCGAGCCACGAAATCAGTTCGAGGACTCAAATCTAAGCCTTACGAAGAACGCCTCCGTTCACTAGACCTTTACCCACTAGAATATAGACGTCTTAGAGGTGATTTATTAATGGCTTATAGTATTCTTAACACTTCTGGACATCCTCTTAAACACCTACTTAAGCTTAGTTCGAATAATAACCTAAGGGGTAACACCCAGAAACTGGAAACACAACATAGCAAGACGGAATGTAGACACAACTTCTACTCCTTAAGAGTTGTCAAAAGCTGGAACTCGCTGCCGGCCGATCTAGTCCAAGCGACTTCTCAGGAGTCCTTCAAGAGGCAACTTGACCTATTCTTAAGGACCAAGGACAGCATCGCACTATGATTTACCAATTTCTTTTCCTCTTTTATTGTTAACATACCTAGGTTCCTGCCTGGAGGATTTGGTGATCCCCTGCTACTAGACACGGAAGCCTGTTAAGCGAAAGCTTCTTCTATTCTGTCCACAACCATTTGAACCATTTGAATCGTATCAGCTGTGCCAAGGCCGATGACAGCGCTCCAAAACCTTTTTTCATCTTAATGATCGTCGGACCTCATGGTTCATCTATAAATGAGAGTGATTCTTCTCTAGGACTGTCAGGATGCAAATAATTGAGTTACATGACTGTAATGATGAGATCACGTCTCTCCTACTGATGAGATCATGTTATTTAATTTCTAAATCTTCCTGACTGCAAATGTCTATTCTCATATCACCAGTTCCTGATGCATGTGTTATTAGATCCCTTGAAAGTTACCTTTGTTTTAACCATCTAATTCGGAAGTTCCAGAAGTCAGTATATAAATTCGTCAGCTGTTCGCACAGTCTTCATTACTGTATTCCAAAATACTCAGAAAATGCAAATATTCGTAAAGACATTGACAGGAAAGACAATTACGTTGGAGGTTGAGCCTAGTGATACTATTGAGAATGTGAAGGCGAAGATTCAAGACAAAGAAGGTATTCCTCCTGACCAACAGCGTTTGATATTCGCTGGCAAGCAGTTGGAAGATGGACGTACTCTGTCTGACTACAACATCCAGAAAGAGTCGACTCTGCATCTTGTCCTTCGTCTACGTGGTGGAATGCAAATCTTTGTGAAGACGTTGACTGGTAAGACGATCACGTTGGAGGTTGAGCCTAGTGATACTATTGAGAATGTGAAGGCGAAGATTCAAGACAAAGAAGGTATTCCTCCTGACCAACAGCGTTTGATATTCGCTGGCAAGCAGTTGGAAGATGGACGTACTCTGTCTGACTACAACATCCAGAAAGAGTCGACTCTGCATCTTGTCCTTCGTCTACGTGGTGGAATGCAAATCTTTGTGAAGACGTTGACTGGTAAGACGATCACGTTGGAGGTTGAGCCTAGTGATACTATTGAGAATGTGAAGGCGAAGATTCAAGACAAAGAAGGTATTCCTCCTGACCAACAGCGTTTGATATTCGCTGGCAAGCAGTTGGAAGATGGACGTACTCTGTCTGACTACAACATCCAGAAAGAGTCGACTCTGCATCTTGTCCTTCGTCTACGTGGTGGAATGCAAATCTTTGTGAAGACGTTGACTGGTAAGACGATCACGTTGGAGGTTGAGCCTAGTGATACTATTGAGAATGTGAAGGCGAAGATTCAAGACAAAGAAGGTATTCCTCCTGACCAACAGCGTTTGATATTCGCTGGCAAGCAGTTGGAAGATGGACGTACTCTGTCTGACTACAACATCCAGAAAGAGTCGACTCTGCATCTTGTCCTTCGTCTACGTGGTGGAATGCAAATCTTTGTGAAGACGTTGACTGGTAAGACGATCACGTTGGAGGTTGAGCCTAGTGATACTATTGAGAATGTGAAGGCGAAGATTCAAGACAAAGAAGGTATTCCTCCTGACCAACAGCGTTTGATATTCGCTGGCAAGCAGTTGGAAGATGGACGTACTCTGTCTGACTACAACATCCAGAAAGAGTCGACTCTGCATCTTGTCCTTCGTCTACGTGGTGGAATGCAAATCTTTGTGAAGACGTTGACTGGTAAGACGATCACGTTGGAGGTTGAGCCTAGTGATACTATTGAGAATGTGAAGGCGAAGATTCAAGACAAAGAAGGTATTCCTCCTGACCAACAGCGTTTGATATTCGCTGGCAAGCAGTTGGAAGATGGACGTACTCTGTCTGACTACAACATCCAGAAAGAGTCGACTCTGCATCTTGTCCTTCGTCTACGTGGTGGAATGCAAATCTTTGTGAAGACGTTGACTGGTAAGACGATCACGTTGGAGGTTGAGCCTAGTGATACTATTGAGAATGTGAAGGCGAAGATTCAAGACAAAGAAGGTATTCCTCCTGACCAACAGCGTTTGATATTCGCTGGCAAGCAGTTGGAAGATGGACGTACTCTGTCTGACTACAACATCCAGAAAGAGTCGACTCTGCATCTTGTCCTTCGTCTACGTGGTGGAATGCAAATCTTTGTGAAGACGTTGACTGGTAAGACGATCACGTTGGAGGTTGAGCCTAGTGATACTATTGAGAATGTGAAGGCGAAGATTCAAGACAAAGAAGGTATTCCTCCTGACCAACAGCGTTTGATATTCGCTGGCAAGCAGTTGGAAGATGGACGTACTCTGTCTGACTACAACATCCAGAAAGAGTCGACTCTGCATCTTGTCCTTCGTCTACGTGGTGGAATGCAAATCTTTGTGAAGACGTTGACTGGTAAGACGATCACGTTGGAGGTTGAGCCTAGTGATACTATTGAGAATGTGAAGGCGAAGATTCAAGACAAAGAAGGTATTCCTCCTGACCAACAGCGTTTGATATTCGCTGGCAAGCAGTTGGAAGATGGACGTACTCTGTCTGACTACAACATCCAGAAAGAGTCGACTCTGCATCTTGTCCTTCGTCTACGTGGTGGAATGCAAATCTTTGTGAAGACGTTGACTGGTAAGACGATCACGTTGGAGGTTGAGCCTAGTGATACTATTGAGAATGTGAAGGCGAAGATTCAAGACAAAGAAGGTATTCCTCCTGACCAACAGCGTTTGATATTCGCTGGCAAGCAGTTGGAAGATGGACGTACTCTGTCTGACTACAACATCCAGAAAGAGTCAACCTTACATCTTGTTCTGCGCCTACGTGGAGGCATGTGATTTCTGTTAAAGTAAAATTAAAAAATAAATTTTAGTTTGATTTTATTTCTAAACGTAGTTCTGTTTTCGTGAGCTGCGAATGATGTTGTCTGTTGTGTCGTACTAAGTAGTGCGTTTTCACAGTGTGATACGGCCGATGGATATTCGAGCTTGTACAGATTTCAGCTAAGTCATTCACGGTTTAATCATGCTGTAGGACGAGTTGTTTGGATACAATGTGTTTGATGACATAGGCATTAGGAGTTGTATGGTACTGAGTAAGGATACGCGTTTTGAAATTTGTAGGAAAGTAATCGCAAATAAAGTGATTGTCATATTACAACCGATTTCGTGATATCACATAATCCTTTCCTGTAGATATCGACCGCATATCAGACTTGAGTTTGTATGTCCAACCCATTCTCAGCGTCTTTTCTTAGTTCCCGTTTCAGTTGGATGCTGGTTTGTTCTCTCCCGCTGTAGGCTGTTGCTGATGGTATCCGGCCAACGGACAATAATTATCTTGTGTAGAAAATTGCTTATAAATACCTGTACCCTTTTGATGGTAGTTGTAATAGTTCTCGGAGCTTAAGCTCTGTACAGCCCGACCGTTGTTGCTACCTTGACGTGGTGGTCGGGCTTGCCTATCGTGATGAAGCAACCGAGCTATACTGGCTGGAACAACCGTTCCTCAAGGTCCTACCATGTCAGACAGGTCGGTTGAAGCGCGGTAAGACTAAAAGCAACAAACCCAAGGTCCGAAGGCGAAGTCGTACTGCTGACTGTACAGAGGTGTGACAGCAGTAAGGTGTTTCCTTCAGACAACCAGCATGACAGCGATGCTCGACCCTAAAAATGCACACCTCACGGATATCCGTCTCCGGTGGTAAGGTCTTAAGAAGTACGGAGCTAACACAAAAATTACCCGTAACAAGGTCGTGTGTGACCGACCTCAAGCAGTTGTCCCTTGGGCACTGCGGTCGCGCTCTCAGGTCACTAAGACCACCTTTAATCCAATTTCCTTTTCAGGTACCTCCAGAACAACCCTTCTTCGGTGTGGGCAACCGGGAAGTGATAACCGCCCTCATACCTCTAACAGCACCCAAGACCACTGTATTCATAATCAACCTTCCTCTTCAATTCCTATTATTCCTCCTACATCGAGATTCAACCCTAAACTTCCTCCGGCTTCCTCCTCAAGTGTCACCATAGCCAACGATTCTAGTGCTCAAAACCCTGTCCCAGGTCTACTGAAACCTCGCTCCAAACTACACATTGGAGCCTTCAACGTACGCACTCTATGTCAAATCGGTCAACAGGTTTCCTTGGCTAAAACCCTAGAGTCTCTTTCCATTGATGTATGCTGTGTCTCCGAAACACGCATACAGGATTCCAGTGTGGTCATTCACTTGACCTCATCTCGGCAAAACGGAGAGCCAACGAGATACACCCTCCGTGTATCTGGTGACCCGATGGCCAGTTCTCGTGGACTGGCAGGTGTAGGCATAGCACTAAGCATGAGGGCGGAACAAGCACTGTTAGAGTGGGTCCCCGTCAACAGTCGTCTATGTGCTGTTCGGCTAAACGGCTCCGTAAGAACTCGGAAGGATAGGGACACACGTCGTTGCCTTTTTGTCGTTTCTGCCTACGCTCCCACTGTCTGCAGCTCAGATGAAGTGAAAGATGAATTTTACAGAAAGCTTTCTGAACTTCTTCAGAAAGCTAAACGCTCAGACATAGTACTCGTAGCAGGTGACTTTAATGCTCAAATAGGTAGTTTAAACCAAACAGAAAAGCATTTAGGTGGGTGTTTTAGCACACCGGCACAGCGAACAGATGATTGTGATCGTCTGCTGCAACTGTGCTCACACAATCGTTTATTTTTAGCAAACACAAATTTTAAGCATTAGGAGAGACATCGTCTAACATGGCGACCCCCTACACCAAACCAACGATGGACTCAAATAGACCATATTGCCATCAGTCATCGTTGGAGAGGGTCGGTAGAGGATTGTCGCTCATTCTGGAGTACCTGCTTGGACTCCGACCATGCCCTAATACGGGCACGCATCTACTTGCGCCTCACTGAACGCAAAAACGCCACATTAAAAAAACCCATTAGAACCGAGTTGAGTAACGAGGAAACCAAAAGTAGGTTCCAGGAACAACTGGGGTCACGATTAGGTAGTTCTGAAAACGAGGCTGACCCAGATGTTGCTTGGAAAGATATACAAACAGCTGTGGAAATAGCAGTGACATCTATTAGTGACTTAAACCACAGGGTTACAAAGAACCAGTGGATTTCTTTAAAGTCTATCACACTGATGGATTCTCGCAAACTCGTCCCATCAGGTTCCGAACATGATGAAGAGCGACAACAAATCAGATCTAGGTTAAGAAAAAGTCCAAGAAACGACCGTGAGTAGTGGTGGGCAACGAAATCAGAAGAGATGGAAGAGGCGGCGACTATATGGAACACAAGACAGCTTTACAGACTAATAAAAGAAACTGGAATTAATAAATCAAGTGTCAGTCAAACTATTTCGGAAAAAGACGATACTCTCATCTGCTCTCAGTCCGGAGGTTTAGAACGATGGGCGAAACACTTTAGGAAACAGTTCAGCTGGCCTCCAGCTACTCTACAACTACCCTCCATTCCCATACAGTGTGAATGGAACATTGAAGTAGGTCCCCCAACTCTTGCTGAAGTTGAAAAGGCTATAGTTAATCTGAAACGAGGAAGGACAGCTGGTCCGGACGGATTGGCTCCAGAGGTCTTTAAGGATGGTGGTCCAATTTTAGCAATTAGGTTGACTAATATTTTAGCAAAGATCTGGGAGTTAGACGTTATTCCATCTGACTGGTCACAATCACTTATCGTCCCAATATATAAGAGAGGGTTAAAATCATCTTGTGACAACCATAGAGGGATTAGTTCAACTAATATAATATCTAAAATACTAGCCTCGATAATTATACGACGCCTAACTAAGACTCGTGAACTGCAGACACGAGAAAATCAGGCTGGCTTCAGAACTAGTCGTGACTGCATCGATCACATATTCACCATTCGTCAGATTCTAGAACACAGGCATACTTATCGGCGTCCGACAATGGTGGTCTTTCTCGACTTAAAAGCAGCATTTGAATCGGTAGACCGCGAGATTCTGTGGCAGTGTCTCTCATTGAAAGGCGTACCCCAATAGTACATAAACCTTGTGAAGACTCTTTACTCGAACACTACTAGTCGAGTCAGAGCTTATGACGAACTATCATCTACTTTTGCAACCTCAAGTGCTGTCCGTCAAGGCTGTCCACTTTCCCCATTCTTGTTTAACTTCATCATAGATCTACTGATGGAAATAACTTTCTCGTCGACTGAGTTCTCGGGTATTGATCTCTTTCCAGGAGGTCCACTTATCGACTTAGAATACGCAGATGATATAGTCCTGTTTGGTGAAGACGCTGACAAAATGCAGAGTCTTTTGGTAGCAGTAAGCAACAATGCCAGAATGCTTGGAATGCGCTTCTCTCCCTCTAAATGCAAGTTGTTGCTTCAGGACTGGTCTGCGTCAACACCTGAACTAAGGATAGGGAATGAAGTAGTCGAACGCGTTGACAACTTCACTTATGTTGGAAGTTTGATCAGCCCTAATGGGTTGGTGTCTGACGAAATCTCAGCACGGATTCGAAAAGCTCGATTGGCTTTTGCCAACTTGCGTCACCTATGGCGAAGGCGAGATATCCGTCTATCAATAAAAGGACGAGTATACTGCGCGGCAGTCCGTTCTGTCTTACTTTACGGCAGCAAAACATGGCCATTAAGAGTAGAAGATACTCGTAAGCTACTAGTATTTGGCTACAGATGCCTTAGAAATATCGCTGGCGTCTGTTGGGATCACCGGGTAAGTAATAGTGAGGTTCGACGCAGGGTATTAGGTAATGATGGTAAATCAGTTGATGAGGTTGCAAATCTTCATCGACTGAGATGGTTGAGCCACGTGTTACGTATGCCTGAACACCGATTACCACGACGTGCAATTCTATCCGGTATTGGAAATGGTTGGAAGAAAGTAATAGGCGGCCAAACCAAAACGTGGCATCAGTGCTTGATATCACTAACTTCTATTCTGAGCCATGTTGGTAGATGCAGACTACTTGGTTGGGGTCCGCGTGACTATCGTAACCAATGGCTGGAGACTCTTGGTGACATGGCTCAGAATCGATCACAATGGCGTAGGTGTATACACACTCTGCCTTCCCTTAAACTAAGAGATTAAAATCGCTTCATATCTTTCTTTCTACGAACCAATTCTTTCTTCTTGTACTATATCTCTATATGCAATCTTTCTCTTACATATTACTACCTTTGACCTAACCACTGCTATGAATCCTGTGTTCGTCTTGTTGTGCTGATGCGGTATGGCAACCTGGACCGATGCACAAATGTGCCTGGTCCTACGTTGTAGCTGACTGACTGAAGCTCTGTACAGTAGAACTGTCTTGACGTTCGTATTGAAGATTCTGACTTTGATATTGGTTTATAGACAGTTGTTTTGAGTTCCATATGTTTTTCAAATGTAGGAATGCTGTCCTTGCTTTGCCAATCCTCACCTTTACATCTGCATCAGGTCCTCCTTGTTCACCGATGATGATCCCAGGTACGTGAAAGACCACATCTTCCAAAGTTTCTGCATCAAGTGTAATTGGATTGGTGTTCTCCATGTTGCATTTGAGGATCATGATTTTTCCCTTGTGTATGTTGAGGTCTACTGCTTCAGAGGCTGCTGCTACACTGGCTGCCTTGATATGCATTTGTTGATGTATATGGTATTGAAAGGCCAGGTCATCTGCGAAGTCCGAACCGTCTAGTTGCATCCAACCTGTCCATTGTATTCCGTGGTGTCCTTGAGATGTGGACATCTCGATAATCCAATTAACCACAAGAAGAAATAGAAAGGAGGAGAGAATAGAGAGCCTTGTTTGACTCCGGTCCTTACTTGGAATGCGTCTGTCAGTTGTTCTACATGCACCACTTTGCACTGTAGTCCGTCGTATGAATTCCGTATGATGT